TTGAAAAATTCAGACGTTAAAAAATCGAAAAATTAAAAAATTGAAAAATTGAAAAAACAAGCAAAATAAGTGATCTAAAACTGCAACATTGAAACATAGGAAACCTGAAAAATTGAAAAATTAAAAATAGTAAATAAAAATGTAAAATTGAAAAAAATTAAAAATTAAAAAATCGAAAAACTGAAGAAACGAAAAATAAAAAAATTGAAAAATAGAAAAAACACGAAAAATTAGTTATCTAAAATTGCAACATTGAAACATCGACAAACTGAAACATTGAAAAATTAAAAATCTAAATAAAAACGAAAAATTCAAAAATTGAAAAGTTAAAATATTAAAATTGAAAACCAGAAAAATTGTGTATTAAAAAATTTCAGAAATGAGAAACTGAAGAACAGGAGAATAATTAATCATCGAATCGAAAAAACAAAAAACCCAATTGTTGTAAAAATTGAGAAATTGTAAAATTGAAAAACTGAAGAAGCTAAAAATTGAAAAATGGAAAGACGAAAAATTAAAAATCGTGAATTGGAAAAATAAAAATCGAAAAATTGAAAAAAATTTAAAATCGGGGAAATGAAAAATTGAAAAAACGGAAAAATAAATTACTAAAAATTGAAAAACTTGAGGGAAAAAAGGGAATCTAATTGAAATATAGACAAATCGAAAAATTAAAAATCTAGAAATTGAAAAATCGAAAAACAGGCATTGAAACACTGAAAAAAAAATTGATTTTCAATTTTTCCATTGGAGTTTTCAATATATTAGTTGAAAAATCCAAATGGAAAATATAAAATTTGCGAAATCGTAAAACTAAAAAAATGAATAATTAAAAAGTTAAAACTTGTTAAAAATGTTGAAAAATCGAAAAACTGCAAAATAACAATCAAAAAGAACGAAAAATAGAAGAAAAGGACGAATAGTTGACGGAAAAATTAAGAAATCAAATAATTGATAATCAAGACATTCAAAAATTGCAAAATGAAAAAATTGATAAATAAAAAATTGAAAACATGAAAAATCCAAAAATTGCGAAAACGTAATAATGAAAAAAAAAACAACTCAAAAATGGAAAAACCGCAAAATTGTAAACACTGAAACATTGGAAAATCCGAAAAATTTAAAAATCAAAAAATCTAATTGAAAAATTGAGAAATTGTGATATCGTAAAATTGAATAATTCAGAAGTTAAAAAATCGAAAAATTAAAAAATTGACAAATAGAAAAAACAAGAAAAATAAGTGATCTAAAACTGCAACATGGAAACATAGGAAACCTGAAATATTGAAAAATTAAAAATACTAAATAAAAATGTAAAACTGAAAACAATTTAAAATTAAAAAATCGAAAAGTTAAAAACTAAATAGTTAAAAAAATCGAAAAACTGCAGAGGAAATAATTGAGAAATTTAAAAATAAAAAATCGAATACCCGAAAAACCAAAAAATCAAAAATATACGAGTAAATATCTAATAATTGAAAGACCGAAAAACTGAAATCGTTCACGATCGAACACATTTAAAATTGAAAACCAACAAAAGTGTAGCCATATCGAAAAATTTTTTAAATAAAAAACCGTAGAATAGAAAAATGAAATACCGAATTGAAAAAACAAAACCCCTAATTATCCTAAAAATTGAGAAATTGTAAAATCGAAAAACTGAAGAAGCCAAAAATTCAAAAATGGAAAAGCGAAAAATTAAAAATCGTGAAATGGAAAAATAAAAATCGAACAATTGAAAAAAAATCAAAATTGAGGAAACGAAAAATTGGAAAAACAGAAAAATAAATTACTAAAAATTGAAAAAATTGGGGGGAAAAAGAGAATAATTGAAATATAGACAAATTGAAAAATTACAAATATAGAAATTGCAAAATCGAAAAACTGAAAAATTTTAAAATTGACAAAAGCGACAAGTTATAAAAAAAAACAGACACTGACACACTAAAAACAGAAAGGTTAAAGACCTCTTGATTTTCAGTTTCTAAATAAAAATCTAAAATTGAAAAAAATTAAAAATTAAAAAATCGAAAAGTTAAAAAACTAAATAGTTAAAAAGATCGAAAAACTGGAGAGTAAAAAATTGATAAACTGAAATATAAAAAATCGAATACCCGAAAAATAAAAAAATTTAAAATTTAAATAAGTAGGTACCTATCTAATATGTAATTGAAAAATTGAAAAACTGAAATCGTAATACTAAAACATGCAAATTCAAAAGCGAAAAATTAAAAAAACCGTTAACAATCGAACACACTTACAAAATTGTAACCATATCGAAAAATTTTTGAAATGAAAAACTGTAGAATAGAAAAATGAAATATCGAATTGAAAAAACAAAAAACCTGATTGTTGTAAAAATTGAGAAATTGTAAAATTGAAAAATTGAAGAAGCCAAAAATTGAAAAAAAGTTAAAAATCTGACAATGGGATAATTAAAAAGTGGAGAAAAAATCAAGAAATCAAATATTTACTAATCGAAAAATAAAAAAATTGAAATTTTGCAGTATTGTGAAATTGAAAAATTTTAAACTGAAAGCTCGAAAAAAAATGCAAATCGCAAAATTGAAGAAAAAAACAAGAAATTAAATTGTCTAAAATAAAAATTGAAGAACAAAATGAAAAATAAAAAGAATAGAAATTATTCAAAATTTAAAAACATCGCAAAATTGAAAAATCGAAAAATTAAAAGATTAAAAAATGAAATATTTAAGAGAAAAATCGAAAACATGAAAAATCCAAAATTTGCGAAAACATAAAAATAAAAAAAAAAACAGAAAAATCGAAAAATTTCAAAAACATTGAAACATTGAAATGAAAAATTTAAAAATCAAAAAATCTAATTGAAAAACTGAAGAATTGTGAAATCCTAAAAGTGAAAAATTCAGAAGAAAAAAAATCAAAAAAGTTAAGCGAAAAATTAAAAAATCGAAAAATAGAAAAAACAAGAAAAATAAATGATCTGAAACTGCAACACTGAAACATTGAAAAATTAAAAATACTAATTAAAAGTGAAAAATTGAAAAAAATTAAAAAAATTGAAAAAAATTAAAAAAATCGAAAGTTAAAAAACTAAACAGTTTAAAAAATCGAAAAACTGCAGAGTAAAAAATTGAAAAATAAAAAATCGAAAACCCGAAAAACCAAAAAATTAAAAATTTAAATATCTAATAATTGGAAAATCGAAAAACAGAAATTATAATATTGAAACATGCGCATTAAAAAGCGACAAATTAAAACAAAAACTGTTAACAATTAAAATTGAAAACCAACAAAATTATAGCCATACCGAAAAATTTTTGAAATGAAAAACTGTAGAATAGAAAAATGAAATATCGAACTGAAAAAACAAAAACCTAATTGATATAAAAATTGAGAAAGTGTAAAATCTGAAAATGGGATAATTAAAAAGTGGAAAAGATCAAGAAATCAAACATTTACAAATCGAAAAATTGAAAAATAGAAAATTTGCAGAATTGGAAACTAAAAAATTTTAAGCCGAGAGCTCGAAAAAGAAAGCAAATTGCAAAATTGAGGAAACGATAAAGTTGAAGAAAAAAACAACGAATTAAATTGTCTAAAATAAAAACTGAAAAAAATGAAAAATAAGAAGAATAGAAATTATTTAAAAAGATGGCAAAATTGAAAAATCGAAAAATTAAAAGATTAAAAAATGAAGCATATAATAGAAAAATCGAAATTGAAACATTGTAAAACCGGAAAATTTTACTTAATTACCGAGAAACTGAAAAGTAAAAAATTGAAAAATTAAAAAATACAAGTCAAAAAAATAGGGAAAAAATAAAAAATTCAATCTCGAAAAATTGAAAACTTGAAATATCGAAAAATTGAAAAATTAAAAAATCGAAATATTGTGACGCGAAAAAAGGAACAATCAACATCTGTGAAGATTCAATCGATCGAAAAGAAAGACAAATTTTTATAACCACAGCTTTTGCAAACGTTTCACCAAGACCAAAAATTATACAGGATAACGGAATGAGAATAATTAAAGCCCAAAACGTTCAAGACAGTTATCAACAAATCAGAATAAACTTAACTGGCTGGTGTATTTCACACTTTTGGAAGGTGCGCCAAAATACCACCAATGGCAGACCAAAGAGATTCGTGACGTCATTTGGCTGCTAACTCCGTCATTTGGCTGCTACATGACGTCGTACTACGTCATCACATTCAAGTCAGGGTTGCATGAGCCAACCTGAATAAAACCACACGGGTCAACTGGATTTGTCTAAACTAAAACTGAGGCAACTTTCTGTTTGGGCAAGAAAACTTGAGTAATCTGAATACAACCAAACGGTCTCAGAAAAGCAAAAATCATGGATTCAGCTCGCGATTTAAGTCTTCATGACGAAATGAAACAGAAGGGGCAATTTATACATATCGTGGGGGCCCTTATTCAAAATGGCGCAGACCCAACGATGAAACAAAACACGTATCTAACAATTGCTGACCCCCCCAAAAACCGGAACAAAAATTCTTGCGTAAATTATACGGCGACCGAGAATTGATACAATTACGAGTAATTTAACCACAAAATACAATCTTACCTTTCTAACTTAAACACAGTCGAAGGAATCGCAACAAACATCTTGAAACACTTTTAAAAACTATGAATCAAGTTGGCTGCCGGTTCCAATGTCACCAACACCCAAAAACAATGTTACTAAAAATGTGTTAATACCAACACAACAATGCACAATTGCACATTGTTTCGTTTTTAAAAGAAACGTTTCTAAACTGTTGACACTATTGATACTGAATTCTTGGCCGTAAAACCTAAAAACTTACCATGCGTAACATTTTTAACAAAAAATGAGACAAAAAACGTGTTTTTAAAAAGGAAACAGGTCAGTAGCGCACCAATCCCACTTTTAACGCAAAAGTTGTCATAAAAATAATAAATTAATTAAATACGAATTATTATAAATGTAAAATAGTTCTGCGCTACACAATAATTCATATTTTCCTCTGCGTGGTGACTGGTGACGCACGTCACTGTTCACCTGTCAAACGTTGCCATGGCAACAAAAAACCAAAATTACCCGAATTCCGATTGTTGTTGAACGTAATTGTTGTTACAAGTTGTTAACAAAACCGTAGTTCAAAAATAAATCAAAATAATTCATTAAAACAAACGGACAAAATGACAGATGTGGACATAACCTCACCCGACGACTTCAGTTCATCAAAGAAGCCCCAACGCCTCAACATTCACCACTTGGACGCAAAATTAGCCGCCGGTTTTCACTCCGACTGCGAAAACCTGCTACAGAAGTTCAAAAAGTGCCAAAATTACAGCTACACCTCGTTCGCACAAGTGTGGCGAGAATCATGTTTCCTGGGCATTTTCAAGTACGTATATTTTACACACAGACACGAAATAATGCAAAGTTTCAGGGGCTTGAACAACATCTTAACCATGAAAACGTTCGTGGAAAATGCGTTTTTTAACGCGAAAAAATTCCTGTATTCGCCGGACCTGTACATACAAACCGGAGCGCTTTACGTGCTGTATGGGTTATATTACAAACAACCAATCAAGTATGTGGAAGCCACGCTGTAACTTAATAATAAATCGACGTTTTCAGTAAATGGGTAAAAGTGAGGTTAACTCAGGCGGATGTTGACCAACTGAAAGAAATCATTGACACGCATAAAGAAAATCGTTGTTTCGAGCCCGTGTTTATCTACTATAAAATGCGACTCGATGGGGCGTTTCAGTACTGCGCGTTGCCGCTGCCGTTAGGTTTGGAGCCGAAATTTTTGAAACGTGTGGACTTTGCAAAAAACGAGATCGCTTCAAGGAGCTCCTGTGACAGTGTTTTAAACAAATTCAAGACATTGATGGAGGAAGATCCTGATTTAGTCCAGTTTGACGAAACTGACGAAGAATATCAGAAATTGTCACAAAAGTACAAAGACCAGTTATTTATATTTCCCAGTCAGTTGGGGGCCCACTTGAAAAAAGCGTACAGCGAGACTTTTCACGTACAATTGGAAGAAAGTCCGCAAACTCAAGCAAAGCACATCACTCTATTAAAAGCCAAGGCGACGGAGGCCGCCAACGCCACCTATCGGGGGGACCGCAAAGTCGTGACCGCTATAGACTTACAAACACCATCTACCTCATTTAACAGTTAGTATAAATAATATATTTTCTAAACATCACACTAAACCTATTAACGTATATGAGATATTTAAATATAACTCTAAAACATTAATTGTGCGGTTATTAAGGCACCGATAAGGCCATTGGAATCCCAGGGAACTTAAGGAGCTTGGGAAGACGCACCCTCCACTGCGTTAGTAGTAGTACTTGTATCATCTCCTCCTCCGACTGAATTAGCAATCGAAACTGTGAAAACACCCGTTATCTCCAGCTTGATAAGATAACCTTATTTACCTATAATGATGATCAGAATCACCAACCCAATTACCCCCAAAATAATCATCATTTTTAGATTCTTCCACCAATACTTCCGTTTCAACTTCTGCGCTTGTTGTTCGAACCTCTTTCCACCCTCCTGGAGGGCGTCAGCCCGCGAGTCCAACTCCGACAACTTCTGGTCTCTCTCGAGCACCTTCTCCACGTTCACTCGCATAATCCCGACCACCTCGTTGACCTGGGCCTGGGTCTGCTCGAGCTTGCTCGGGGCTCGACTTCCTGACGGGTTCTCCATTCTGTCTCCGGTTTTAACTCGGCGAAATCACAGGATATGACTTACTAAACAGGCTTCAAACCCACACTAGCAAAAACGCAGAACAATAAAGAGATAAACTTATCTGTTAACAGATACAGATAGTCGAGTTGGCGCAGAAATTTACCAAAACGGGTTAAATGAACGCGAAATGACCGATTTTAACACAAACGAACCGAAATTAAGCAAACTAAAGCCCGAAAATAAATAAAAACGGAGCAATTTGTTGACGTCTCAGTTAATTCGCCATTACGGAAACATGCGTCATACGTCAATGGATGAAACGTCAAATTCGCGAGAAGTGGCTGAGGTTACACGCGAGATAAAGCGGGACGGGAGATAAACGCCATGTATGTGAGCGAGATGGCTATACAGGTGTGGTGGCTACAGACACGTATCCATGTGACACAGGGATTAAAATCGCAGAAATCATTAAAAATAATTTATTATTTTTTTTAAATAAATCGTTACTACGTTAAACAATAGTGATATGACACAGTCAATCTTTCTTATTTTTGTATAAATAAGTCGAAGAAGCATTCATAACAAGCCCCAAACCTTGGCAACTAATATTTAACAATAGGGTGGGGTGGTAGCACTTATTTTTTACTCTAGAGGGATATTGTTTTAACTTTTCTCTATGCTATTATCTGGAGAGTTTTCTTTGCTTTCTAGCTGTTGTTTCCACATTGAGGAATAAACGCCCTCCTGTCCGATTAAATGTTCATGTCTGGAAAAAAATATGTTTGTTGATTTTACGAGTTCAGCAGTGAGTAATGAAACAAAAATGCGCACTTTATCAGCGATAAAGATCTGTTTTGTGTTTACTTAGAAGTAAAAGGAGGTGGCAATGATCACAAATATAAACATCCACGTTAATTGCGATTGCCCACAAAAATGGATGACGTTGATACGTAATTTCCCTGAACATAAGAACGGAAATCGTTAATCGCCACACAAATACCTAAATAACACGGTTCACGCATAATTACATACTTTTTTTTGTTTGGTTTTGGTTTATTTTTGTTTTCTTTGTTGTTACTTCCTGAGCGTGGGCTAAGGACGTACTAAAATCGCGTCCACTGGACTACTTTTGTTTTCTGGACGTTTCATGAACTCTAGAGAACGAAAAAATATGTCTCCCGTTTCTAAACGTCTGCCTATCTGTCGTCTGTCAAAATTTTTATTAGACAGATAATCTGCGAAACTACTGGACGAATTGTTGTGTACATACATATCTTTATTTTAATTTAAAAATGCTATCATTAAAAAATAGAATTCGCAAGATCAAATCTCATATATAAATAATTGAGACATGATTGTCTACTGGAAATATTTGAATTTTTATTGTTTTGATTTGTCCAATTTTCAATGTTTCTTTCGATTTTATAATTTTTCCTTTATTTAATTTTTAAATTTTTCAATTTTGCGATTTTTGGATTTCCTAATTATCCGATTTTCCGATTTTGCACGTTTTCCATTTTTAAGTTTCTCAATTTATCAATCTTTCGATTTTTTAATTTTTCGTTTCTTCAATTTTTCAAGTTATTGATTTTCAAATTTTACAATTTTTAAAGTTTTCATTTTATACTTCTTCGTTTTTTTTTATAATTATGTAATTTATGTAAGTGGAAAATTGAAAAGAAAAATGAAGAAACTTAAAAATCGAAAAAAAAAATTAATCGAAAAATTGGAAAAGCTGAAAATTGTAAAATCGTCAACATTTAAAATTAAAAAATCGAATGAGGAAGTTTTCAAATGCAATAAGTGAAAATTTTAAAATAAGTATTTTTTACATATTTAAAATGAAAAAAAAAAACTATTAAAAATGGAGAAACTGAAAAATCTAAAACTGAAAAAAAAAGTGAAGAATTTAAAACTTGAATAACAGAAAAATTCCAAATCGAAAAATTAAAAAATTCAAAAATTGAAAAACCGAAAAATTGAAGAAATGAAAAACTGAAATATTTAAAAGTTAAAAATCGAAAAACTGAAAAATTGCAAATCGAAAAATTGAAAAATCCAAAAATTAAAATTTCACACTGAAATAAAGAAAAATGATAAAATCAGAACATTGAAAAACCGAAAAATTGAAGAAATAAAAAATGTAAAAATCGAAAAAATACAATATCGAAAAATTGAGATATCCAAAAGTTGGAAAATCGAAAAACTGAAAAATTATAAAATCAGAACTTTGAAAAACCAAAAAATTGAAACATCGAAAAATTGAAAAATTAATTAAATTAATAAAGTTGGAAATTCGAAAAACTGAAAAATTGAAGAAATGAAAAATTTTAATTTCCAAAAGTTGGAAAATTCAAAAACTGAAAAATTTTACATATCGTAAAATTAAAGAAACAAAAAAAAAAAGAAAAATTGAAAAATTCCAAATCGAAAAATAGAAAAATCCACAAGTTAAAGTTTCACACTGGAAAAAAAAAGAAAAATTGAAGAAATAAAAAATTGAAGACTCGAAAAATTGAGAAATTAAAATTGAAATATTAATATAATAAAAATTTAACACATCGTAAAATTGAACAAATAAGACAAAATGAAAAATTATAAAATAAGAACTTTGAAAAACCGAAAAATTGAAGAAATAAAAAATGTAAAAATCGAAAAACTGGAAAATTTTAAAAATCGTAAAATTGAAGAAACAAAACAAAATGAAAAATTGAAAAAGGAAAAAAAATGAGAACTTTGAAAAACCGAAAAATTGAAGAAAAGAAAAACTAAAAAATCAAAAATTGAAATTTCCTGCAATTGCAAATGGAAAAATTGAAATTTCCAAAAGTTAGACAATCGAAAAACTGAAAAATTTTACATACCCTAAAATTTAAAAAACAAAAGTTTGAACTTTGAAAAACCGACAAATTGAAACATCGAAAAATTGAAAAATTAAAAATTGAAATCTGAAACTGTAAATCTAAAAATTGAAATTTCCAAAAGTTGGAAAATCCAAAAACTTCAAATTTCACACTGAAAAAAGGATAATTATAAAATTAGAACTTTGAAATACCAAAAAATTGAAGAAATGAAAAACTGAAAAATTAAAAATTGAAATCTCCTAAAATTGCAAACCGAAAAATCCAAATATCCAAGAGTTAGAAAAACTGAAAAGTTTTACATATCGTAAAATTAAATAAACAAAAGAAAAATGGAAAATTGAAAATATCCAAATCCAAAAATTAAAAAATCCATAAATTAAAATTTCATACTGAAAAAAAGTATTTTTTACATATTTAAAATGAAAAAAAAAAACCTAGAAAAATCGAGAAACTGAAAAATCTAAAACTGAAAAAAATTAAAGAATTTAAAAGTTGAAAAACCGAAAAATTGAAGAAATGAAAAATTGAAATATTCAAAAGTTAAAAGTCGAAAAACTGAAAAATTGCGAATCGAAAAATTGAAAAACCCAAAAATTAAAATTTCACACTGAAATAATGAAAAATTATAAAATCAGAACATTGAAAAACGGAAAATTGAAGAAATAAAAAATGTAAAAATCGAAAAAATACTGTATTTTTAAAAATTGAATTATCCAAAGGTTGGAAAATCTAAAAACTGAAGAATTTTTAAAATCGTAAAATTGAAGAAACAAAAAAAATTGAAAAACTGAAACATTCCAAATCGAAAAATTGAAAAATCCAAAAATTAAAATTTCACACTGAAAAAAGAAGAAAAATTGACGAAATAAAAAATTGAAAAATCGGGAAATTGAGAAATTAAAATTGAAATATTAATATAAAAAAAAATTACACATCGTAAAATTGAACAAACAAAACAAAATGAAAAATTATAAAATTAGAACTTTGAAAAACCGAAAAATTGAAAAATTGACAAAAGGCAAAATTGAAAAATTAAAAATTGAAATCTGAAATTGTAAATCTAAAAATTGAAATATCCAAAAGTTGGAAAATCGAAAAACTGAAAAATTTTACATATTGTAAAATTGAAGAAACAAAACAAAATGAAAAACTGAAAAATCCAAAAATTGAAATTTCACATTGAATAAGGAAAATTATCAAATTAGAACTTTGAAAAACCGAAAAATTGAAGAAAAGAAAAACTGAAAAATCTAAATTTGAAATCTCCTGAAATTGCAAATTGAAAAATTGAAATTTCCAGAAGCTGGAAAAACTGAACAATTTTACATATCGCAAAATTGAAGAAACAAAAAAAAAAATGAAAAATCGAAAAATTGAAAAATCCACAAATAAAAATTTCAGACTGAAAAAAAGAAAAATGATAAAGTCAGAACTTTGAAAAACCGAAAAATTGAGGAACTAAAAAATTGAAAAATCGAAAAATTAAAATTGAAATATTAATATAAATTAAATTAATTTAATAAAGTAATTAAATCATCAAAGTTGGAAATTCGAAAAATTGAATTTTGCAAATTGAAAAATTGAAGAAAGGAAAAATTGAACTCTGAAACTGTAAATCTAAAAATTGAAATATCCAGAAGTTGGAAAATCGAAAAACTGAAAAGTTTTACATTTCGTAAACTTGAAGGAACAAAAAAAATTGGAAAATTGAAAAATCCAAAAATTGAAATTTCACACTAAAAAAAGAAAAATTATAAAATTAGAACTTTGAAAGAACGAAAAAATGAAGAAATGAAAAACCGAAAAATGAAAAATTGAAAAATCCAAAAATTAAAATTTCACACTGAAAAACGAATAATTACAAAATTAGAACTTTGAAACACCGAAAAATTGAAGAAATGGAAAACTGAAAAATTAGAAATTGAAATATCCAAAAGTTGGAAAATCGAAAAAATCGAAAAATTGAAAAATCCACAAATTAAAATTTCACACTGAAAAAAGGCAAAATCATAAAATCAGAACACTTGAAAAACTGAAAAATTGAAGAAATGAAAAATTAAAATTGAAATCTCGTAAAATTGCAGAGTCTAAAAATTAAAATATGCAAAAGTCGGAAATTCGAAAAACTGAAAAATTGAAAATTTGCAAATCGAAAACCTGAAAAATTTTATATTTCGTAAACTTGAAGGACCAAAAAAATTTGTAATTGAAAAATCCAAAAATTGAAATTTCACACTGAAAAAAGAATAATTATAAAATTAGAACTTTGAAACACCGAAAAATTGATGAAATGAAAAACTGAAAAATTAGAAATTGAAATCTCCTAAAATTTCAAATCGAAAAATTGAAATATCCAAAAGTTGGAAAATCGAAAAACTGAAAAGTTTTACGTACCATAAAATTGAAAAAACAAAAGAAATGAAAAATTGCGAATCGAAGAATTGAAAAATCCAAAAATTAAAATTTCACACTGGAAAAGACAAAATTATAAAATCAGAGCACTTGAAAAATTGAAGAAATAAAAAATTGAAAAATTAAAATTGAAATCTCGTAAAATTGCAAAACGAAAAATTGCAGAATCTAAAAATTAAAATATGCAAAAGTTGGAAATTCGAGAAACTGAAAAATTGAAAATTTGCAAATCGAAAAATTGAACAAACGAAAATTTGAAAAATTAAAGATTGAAATCTCCTGAAACTGCAAATCGAAAAATTGAAAAACCTAAAAATTTAAATGCCCAAAAGTTCGAAAATCGAAAACCTGAAAAATTTTGTATATCGTAAAATTGAAGAAACAAAAAAATTGCAAATCGAAAAAAAGAAAATTTATGAAATCAGAACTTTCAAAAACCGAAAAACCGAAGAAATGAAAAATTAAAAAATTGAAAAATTGAAAAATTAACATTGAAATGTCGTGAAATTGCAAATCGTAAAATTGCAAAATTCAAAAATTAATACATTCAAAGTTGAAAATTCGAAAAACTGAAAAACTTTACACAACGTAAAATTGAAAAAACAGAAAATTATAAAATCGGCACATTCGAAAAATTGCACAATAAAAAATTAAAGAATCAAAAAATTGAAAAATTCAAAATTAGAAAAACTGTAAAAATCGAAAAATTCAAACTCACAAACTTGAAAAATTCAAGTCAAAAAAGCTATAGAAGCGTTATTTACGCCACTGGTTTTTACTTTATAGAGATTACCATAAACAAAAAGCGCAAAAAAATTATAATTTTTCAAAGACGCTGGATATGTTGCACTTCATGAGCGAGGGAAGTTCTGTCGAAATAACCTTTGACAAGTTTTTCAAGATTAAGTCAAGATTAAGTCAAGTAGCCTTTACTCAGGAAGTTGAATTAACTCTTGAAAAATACTTTACCGTTTACCCACACAGCTTGAAACCTAGACTCACCTTCCCCTCTCAATAATCTCCCCCTCCCTCAGCACCAAGATCTCGTCGGCGTGGATGACCGTGGACAGCCTGTGCGCGACAATGATAGTCGTCCTGTTCGAGCACATCTTGTCCAACTGCTCCTGTATGTTCCTCTCCGTCTGCGTGTCCAGCGCGCTGGTCGCTTCGTCCAGCAGCGCAATCTGTGGCGCCTTCAGCAGCGTCCGCGCTATCGCCACCCTCTGCTTCTCGCCGCCGCTCAGCCTCAGCCCCCTCTCCCCCACCTGCGTGTCATACGCGTCCGGGAACGTCAAAATCTTATCGTGAATATCCGCCCCCCGGGCCGCCTCGATGACGTCGGCGTCCGTCGCCGTCAACCTCCCGTACTTGATATTATACCGAATCGTGTTGTTGAACAACACCGTGTCCTGGGGGACCACGCCGATGGCGCGCCGCAGCGACTCCTGGGACACCGTCTTGATGTTCTGCCCGTCGATGATGATCGAGCCGGTCTCCACGTCGTAGAAACGGAAGAGGAGCCGGATTATCGTGCTTTTGCCGCTACCTGAGGGACCCACCAGAGCGATGGTTTTCCCAGGGGGAACCGAGAAGGTCACGTTCTTCAAAACGAGTCTCTCGGGGAGGTACCCGAAGGAGACGTTGTTGAACTCCACGGCGCCGCGTTTGACTGTGATGGGTCCGGCGTTCGGGGCGTCGATGACCTCCTGGTCCTCCCGTAACAAGTCGAACATGTTCTCCATGTCGACGAAGTTCTTCTGGATGGCTCTGTAGTAGGTGCCGAACCAGTTCAGCGGCACGTACAGCTGGACTATGTAACTCGCGAAGAGGACGTAGTCGCCGACGGTTAGTTCACCCACGTCCACCACCAGGTGGACGCAGAGGAGGCTCCCGCTGAGTAGGCCGGTGCAGATGATCACGTTCTGGACGGTGTTGAGAATATTCAGCGTGATGTTCGACCGCCACTCCTCCGCCTGGAAGCGCAAAATAGCGTCGCGGAAGGCCTCCACTTCGTACTGCTCGGCCCCATAATATTTCACCGTCTCGAAATTAAGCAAGGAGTCGACGCTGCGCGCGCGGGTTTCGTTGTCCGCCAGATTCATACGTCTTTGGAATTTTGTTCGCCATTCGGTGATGGTGATAGTCAAAGCTTTAAAAACATATAATTAGTGACTGACTACCCCACGACTCCGCCCACTCACCTATGTAGAGAATCATCGTGACGAACACGATCAGGCCGAACCACGCGTTGAAGGCCACCACGAAGAACACCACAGCCACTAAGATGTCGACGATCGTCGGGAAGATCGAGAATATGATGTAGTTTAAGAGGTTGTTAATACTGTCCGTGCCTCTGTCCATCACTCGGAGCACTTCTCCGGTTTTCCTGCCTAGATGCCACCGCAGGGACAAGCTGTGTAAGTGTCTGAAGAGCTCCACCTCCACTTCGCGGGTCGTATACTGCTGTATCCTGATCCAGAGGAAGGATCTAAGGTTGTTTAGAAGGCCCATGCCGCCGGTGCCGCCCCCTTGTAGGAACTTGAAGCCGACGTAAATTAGGATCCAGTCCCATCGGAAGTCGAGTTTCGCCGAAGGGTTGGTTTTGGGGGGAGTCATGCTGTCGACTAAGAGTGAAAAGTTCATTATATATAATATTTTCAAATATACAGGTTGTTTCAAGTGAAACTTATTACTGTAGTTCTTTTTTTAAAGTAACACCTATACATTTCTAAAGATTTATATTTTCAATAGAAAGAGGGAAAAAAAAAACACCAACGGTAATTAAAAATTTCAGGGGCCCGAAGTGTCTTTTCTTAAAGAATATGAAACAATTTTGAAAACAACTAGTATTTTATTTTTGAAGAAATTTTAAACAATCTTAGCTGTATTTTATTCCCAAAATGAAAAGAAAAATAATCATAAAGAAAGTGAAACAATTTTAGGGGTTTCTAGTGTACTTTTTTCTAAATGCGAAAGGATATCGGAGAGCCCAAGTGTCTTTTTTTAGGAACGCGTAAAATCTCGGAGAGCCCTTATGTTCTATTTTTAATGCAAAAGAATCTGGAGAGTCCCAAGTGTATTTTTTTTAAGAGAAATAATCTCGGGGGCTCCTAGTATATATATTTTTTTGGAGAATTCGAAAGAACCTCGGGGATCTCAAGTGTGTTTTTTTTTAATGCGAAAGAATCTCGAATCTCCTAGTGTATTTTTTTTAATGCGGAAAAAAATTGGAGCTTCCAGTGTATTTTTTTATGTGAAAGAATCACCGCGGCCCCAAGTGTCTTTTTTTTTAAAGCAAGAGAATTTCGGGCAGACCAAGTGTGTTTTTTTTTTAATTGTGAAAGAATCTCGGGGGCATCTCGAGTCTTTCTTTTAAGAATGTGGAAGAACGTCGGAGAGCCCTAGTGTAATTTTTTTTTAATGCGAAAGAATCTCAGAATTGGAATGCTAAAGTTTTTCGGGGGACCTAAATGGCTATTTTTTGAAGCGAAAGACTATTGGGGGCCCCAACTGTATTTTTTGGGTCTGCGAAAAAAATGTCGGGGGCCCCAAGTGTTCTTTTTGGTACTACGAAAAATCTCTGGGACTCCGGAGTGTGATTTTTTGGGCCCCAAGTGTCCTTTTCTAAGGAATTCGGAAGAATCTCGGGACCCCGAGTGTTTTTTTAATGCGCGGGAATCTTGGGGGCCCCAAGTGTGTTTTTTTTTAATGCGAAAGAATCTCGAATCTCCTAGTGTATTTTTTTTAATGCGGAAAAAATTTGGAGCTTCCAGTGTATTTTTTCATGTGAAAGAATCACCGCGGCCCCAAGTGTCTTTTTTTTTAAAGCGAGAGAATTTCCGGCAGCCCAAGTGTGTTTTTTTTAATGTGAAAGAATCTCGGGGGCATCTCGAGTCTTTCTTTTAAGAATGTGGAAGAACGTCACGGAGCCCTAGTGTAATTTTTTTTTAATGCGTAAGAATCTCAGAATTGGAATGCTAAAGTTTTTCGGGGGACCCAAATGGCTATTTTTTGAAGCGAAAGACTATTGGGGGCCCCAACTGTATTTTTTGGGTCTGCGAAAAAAATGTCGGGGGCCCCAAGTGTTCTTTTTGGTACTACGAAAAATCTCTGTGATTCCAGAATGTGATTTTTTGGGCCCCAAGTGTCCTTTTTTAAGGAATTCGGAAGAATCTCGGGGCCCCGAGTGTTTTTTTAATGCGCGGGAATCTTGGGGGCCCCAAGTGTGTTTTTTTTTTAATGCGAAAGAATCTCGAATTTCCTAGTGTATTTTTTTTAATGCGGAAAAAATTTGGAGCGTCCAGTGTATTTTTTTATGTGAAAGAATCACCGCGGCCCCAAATGTCTTTTTTTTTAAAGCGAGAGAATTTCGGGCAGCCCAAGTGTGTTTTTTTTAATGTGAAAGAATCTCAGAATTGGAATGCTAAAGTTTTTCGGGGGACCCAAATGTCTATTTTTTGAAACGAAAGACTATTGGGGGCCCCAACTGTATTTTTTGGAACTGCAAAAAAAATGTCGGGGGCCCCAAGTGTTCTTTTTGGTACTACGAAAAATCTCTGGGACTCCGGAGTGTGATTTTTTGGGCCCCAAGTGTCCTTTTTTAAGGAATTCGGAAGAATCTCGGGACCCCGAGTGTTTTTTTAATGCGCGGAAATCTTGGGGGCCCCAAGTGTGTTTTTTTTTTAATGCGAAAGAATCTCGAATCTCCTAGTGTATTTTTTTTAATGCGGAAAAAATTTGGAGCTTCCAGTGTATTTTTTTATGTGAAAGAATCACCGCGGCCCCAAGTGTCTTTTTTTTTAAAGCGAGAGAATTTCGGGCAGCCCAAGTGTGTTTTTTTTAATGTGAAAGAATCTCAGAATTGGAATGCTAAAGTTTTTCGGGGGACCCAAATGTCTATTTTTTGAAACGAAAGACTATTGGGGGCCCCAACTGTATTTTTTGGAACTGCAAAAAAAATGTCGGGGGCCCCAAGTGTTCTTTTTGGTACTACGAAAAATCTCTGGGACTCCGGAGTGTGATTTTTTGGGCCCCAAGTGTCCTTTTTTAAGGAATTCGGAAGAATCTCGGGACCCCGAGTGTTTTTTTAATGCGCGGAAATCTTGGGGGCCCCAAGTGTGTTTTTTTTTTAATGCGAAAGAATCTCGAATCTCCTAGTGTATTTTTTTTAATGCGGAAAAAATTTGGAGCTTCCAGTGTATTTTTTTATGTGAAAGAATCACCGCGGCCCCAAGTGTCTTTTTTTTTAAAGCGAGAGAATTTCGGGCAGCCCAAGTGTGTTTTTTTTTAATGTGAAAGAATCTCGGCGGCATCTCGAGTCTTTCTTTTAAGAATGTCGAAGAACGTCGGGGATCCCTAGTGTAATTTTTTTTTAATGCGAAAGAATCTCAGAATTGGAATGCTAAAGTTTTTCGGGGGACCCAAATGTCTATTTTTTGAAGCGAAAGACTATTGGGGGGGCCGACTGTATTTTTTGGGACTGCGAAAAAAATGTCGGGGGCTCCAAGTGTTCTTTTTGGTACTACGAAAAATCTCTGGGACTCCGGAGTGTGATTTTTTGGGCCCCGAGTGTCCTTTTTTAAGGATTTCGGAAGAATCTCGGGACCCCGAGTGTTTTTTTAATGCGCGGGAATCTTGGGGGCCCCAAATGTGTTTTTTTTAATGCGAAAGAATCTCGAATCTCCTAGTGTATTTTTTTAATGCGGAAAAGATTTGGAGCTTCCCGTGTATTTTTTTATGTGAAAGAATCACCGTGGCCCCAAGTGTCTTTTTTTTTAAGCGAGAGAATTTCGGGCAGCCCAAGTGTGTTTTTTTGTAATGTGAAAGAATCTCGGGGGCATCTCGAGTCTTTCTTTTAAGAATGTGGAAGAACGTCGGGGAGCCCTAGTGTAATTTTTTTTAATACGAAAGAATCTCGGGGGCCCCAAGCGTCTATTAAGCGAAAGACTCTTGATGTCTCAAGTGTCTTTTTTTGGGAATACGAAAAATCTCAGAGGCTCCGAGTGTAATTTTTCTTTAAGGAAAGCAAAAGGACCTTAGGGGCTCAAAGTGTCATTTCTATGTAAAATAATTTCCGTGGCCCCAAGGGTCTTTTTTACGCAAAAGAATCTCGGTGGCCTCAAATATCCTTTTTTAAGGAATTCAAATGAATATTGGGGGCCTCTCGTATCTTTCTTTTAAGAATGCGAAAGAATGTCGGGGGTCCCCAATGTATTGTTTTTATGTGAAAGAATCTCGGGGATTCCAAATGAATTTTGTTAAGAATGCGAAAGAATCTCGTGGGTCCCAAGGGTATTTTTTTAAGAAAACGAAAGAATCTCAAGGGTCCCAAGTGTCTATTTTTTAAAGTGCAAGACTCTTGAAAGCCTCAAGTGTTTTTTTTTTGTAATGTTAAAATTTTTCGAGGGACCCAAGTGTCTATTTTTCAATGCAAGAGAATCTTAGAGGTCCCAAGTGTCCTTTTTTTAAGGAATTCGAAAGAACCTTGAGGGCCCCAAGTGACTATTTTTTAATGCGAAACACTCTTGAGTGTCACCAGTCTCCTTTTTTTGGAAATGCGAAAAATCTCTGGAGCTGCTAGTGTCATTTTTTTTAAGGAATACAAAAGAATCTTAGGGGCCACAAGTGTTTATTTTTAAGTAAATAAATCTCGGTGTCCTCAAGTGTTCTTTTTTTAAGGAATGCAAAAGAATCTCGGGGACCCCAAGTGTGTTTTCTTTTTCAATGTGTGGGAATATCGGGGGACCCAAGTGGGTTTTTTTAATGCGAAAGAATTTCGGGAGCTCCAAATGTCCATTTTTTAATGCGAAATACTTTTGGCGATCCCAAGTGTCTTTGTTTGGCAAAAATCTCTGAGGGTCCTAGTGGCATTTTTTTTTAAAGAATACAAAAGAATTTTAGGAGACCCAAGTGTCTTTTTTTTAAGTTAAAAAATATCGGTGGCCCCAAGTGTCCTTTTTTAAAGATTTCGAAAGAATCTCGGGAACTCCTAGTGTTTTTTAATGCCAAAGGATCTCGGGAGCCGCAAATGTATTTTTTTAAGAATGCGAAAAAATCTCGACGGCCCCAAGTGATTTTTTTTTCTTTAAGAATGCGAAATCATCTCGGGGGCCCCAAGAGTACTTTTTTACGAATGCGAAAGCATCTCGGGGCCCCTAAGAGTACTTTTTTAAGAATGCGAAAGAATCTCGGGGGCCCCAAGAGTATTTTTTTAAGAATGCGAAAGAATTTCGGAGGTCCCAAGTGTCTATTTTTTAATACGAAAGACTCTCGGAGGTCCCAAGTATTTTTTTGAGAATGTGAAAAATCTGTCGAGCTCCAATGTCATTTTCTTCAAGGAATAAAAAAGAATCTTAGGGACCCCAAGTGTCTTTTATGTGAAAAAATCTCCGTGATCCCAAGTGTCCTTTTTTAAAGAATCCGAAAGAATCTCGGAGACTCTATGTGTGTTTTTTTTATGTGTGGGAATCTCGGAGGCCCCAATTGTACTTTTTTTAAGAATGCGAAAGAATTTCGGAGGTCCCAAGTGTCTATTTTTTAAAACGAAATACTCTCGGAGGTCCCAAGTGTCTTTTTTGTGGGAATACGCAAAATCTCTGGAGCTCCAATGTAATTTTCTTTAAGGAATACTAACGAATCTTAGGGGCCCCGAGTGTCTTTTTTATGTGAAAAAATCGCCGTGGTCCCAAGTGTCCTTTTTTAAAGAATCCGAAAAATTTCGAGGACTCCATGTGTGTTTTTGTATGTGTAGGAATCTCGGGGGGCCCAATTGTATTTTTTTAAGAATGCGAAAGAATTTCGGAAGTCCCAAGTGTCTATTTTTTAATACGAAATACTCTCGGAGGTCCCAAGTGTCTTTCTTTGGGAATGCGAAAAATCTCTGGAGCTCCAATGTCATTTTCTTTAAGGAATACTAAAGAATATTAGGGACCCCAAGTGTCTTTTTGATGTGAAAAAATCTCCGTGGTTCCAAGTGTGTTTTTTTAAAGAATCCGAAAAATCTCGAAGACTCCATGTGTGTTTTTTTTATGTGTGGGAATCTCGGAGGCCCAATTGTATTTTTTTTAAGAATGCGAAAGAATTTCGGAGGTCCCAAGTGTATTTTTTAACACGAAATACTCTCGGAGGTCCCAAGTGTCTTTTTTTGGGAATGCGCAAAATCTCTGGAGCTCCAATGTCATTTTCTTTAAGGAATACAAAAGAATCTTTGGGGCTCCAAGTGTCTTTTTTATGTGAAAAAATCTCCGTGGTAACAAGTGTCCTTTTTAAAGAATCCGAAAAATCTCGGGGACTCCATGTGTGTTTTTTTTTTGTTTGGGAATCTCGGGAGGCCCAATTGTATTTTTTTTAAGAATGCGAAAGAATTTCGGAGGTCCCAAGTGTCTTTTTTTGGGAATGCGAAAAATATCTGGAGCTCCAAAGTCATTTTCTTCATGGAATACAAAAGAATCTTAGCGACCCCAAGTGTCTTTTTGGTGTGAAAAAATCTCCGCAGTCCCAAGTGTCCTTTTTTAAAGAATCCGAAAAATCTCGGGGACTCCATGTGTGTTTTTTTTATGTGTGGGAATCTCGGGGGGCCCAATTGAATTTTTTTTAGGAATGCGAAAGAATTTCGGAAGTCCCAAGTGTCTATTTTTTAATACGAACTACTCTCGGACGTCCCAATTGTTTTTTTTTTTGGGAATGCGCAAAATCTCCGGAGCTCCAATGTCATTTTCTTTAAGGAATACAAAAGAATCTTAGGAGCCCCAAGTGTCTCTTTTAAGTGAAAAATCTCCGTGGCCCCAAGTGTTTTTTTAAAGCAAAAGAATATCGGTGGCCCCAAGTGTCCTGTTTTAAAGAATTCGAAAGAATCTCGGGGACCCCAAGTGTGTGTTTTTTTAATGTGTGGGAATCTCGGGGGACCCAAGTGTGTTTTGTTAATGTGAAAAAATTTCGGGGCCCCCAAGTGTCCATTTTTTAATGCGAAATACTCTTGGGGGTTCCAAGTGTCTGTTTTTTGGAATGCAAAACTCTTGAGGCTCCTAATGCCATCTTTTTTTAAGGAATACAAAAGAATTTTATGGGCTCCGAAGTGTCTTTTTTATGTGAACAAATCTCCGCGGCCCCAAGTGGCCTTTTTAAAGAATTGAAAAGAATCTCGGGGACCCCAAGTGTTTTTCCTTTAAAAATGTGAAAGAATCTCGGGGGACACAAGTATGTTTTTTTTAACGCGGAAGAATTTCGAGAGCCCCAAGTGTCCATTTTTTAATGCAAAAGACTCTTGGGGGTCCCAAGTGTCTTTTTTTGGGAATGCAAAAATCTCTGAGGCTCCTAGTGCTATCTTTTTTTAAGGAATACAAAATAATCTTAGGGCCTCCAAATGTCTTTTTTATGTGAACAAATCTCCGCGGCCCCAAGTGGCCTTTTTAAAGAATTCGAAAGAATATCGGGGACCCCAAGTGTGTTTGTTCTTTAAGAATGTGAAGGAATCTCGGGGGACACAAGTATGTTTTTTTTTCTTGTGGAAGAATTTCGGGAGCCCCAAGTGCCCATTTTTTAATGCAAAAGACTTTTGGGGGTGTCAATTGTCTTTTTTTTGGGAATGCAAAAATCTCTGAGGCTCCTAGAGTCATCTTTTTTAAGGAATACCAAAGAATCTTAGGGGGCTCCAAGTGTCTTTTTAAGCAAAAGAGTCTCGGTGGCCCCAAGTGTCCTTTTTTAAGGAATTCGAAAGAATCTCAGGGCCGCAAGTGTTTTTTTAATGCGAGAGAATGTCGGAGACCCCACTTGTCTTTTTTTGGGAATGCAAAAACCTCTAGGGACCCTAGTGTTTTTCTCTAAAGAATGCAGAACGATCTTGAGATCCCAAGTGTCTTCTTTTTTAACGAATACAAAAGAATCTTACGGGCCCCAAGTGTATTCTTTTTTTAAAGAATACAAAAATCTTGGGACCCCAGGTATTTTTTCTAACTGGAGAGTATCTTGGGGACATTCAGTGTTTCCTTTTTGAAGAATGAAAAAGAATCTCAGGGGCCCCAAGTGTCTATTTTTAATGCGAAAGGCCCCCCCGGGGGTCCCAAATGTCTTTTTTTTGGGAATATAAAAAATGTCTAGGACCCCTAGTGTTTTTTTTTAAGGAATACAAATGAATCTTGGGGGCCCAAGTGTCTTTTTTTAGCAATTCGAAAGAATCTCGGAGGTCCCTAGTGTCTTCTTTTTTAACGAATACAAAAGAATCTTAGGGGCCCCAAGTGTGTTTTTTTAAAGCAAAAGAATCTCGTAGCCCCCTAGTGTATTCTTTTTTTAAAGAATACAAAAATCTTGGGACCCTAGGTGTTTTTTCTAATTGGAGAGTATCTCGGGGACTCTCAGTGTTTTCTTTTTGAAGAATGAAAAAGAATCTCAGGGGCCCCAAGCGTCTATTTTTAATGCGAAAGCACCCCCCCCCCGGGTCCCAAGTGTCTTTTTTTTTTGGAAATGTAAAAAATGTCTAGGACCCCTAGTGTTGTTTTTAAGGAATACAAAAAAATCTTGGGGCCCAAGTGTCTTTTTTTAGCAATTCGAAAGAATCTCGGAGGTCCCTAGTGTTTTCTTTTTTAACGAATAGAAAAGAATTTTACGGGCCCCAAGTGTGGTTTTTTAATGCAAAAGAATCTCGTAGGCCCCTAGTGTGTTCTTTTTTTAAAGGATACAAAAATCTTGGGACCCCAAGTGTCTATTTTTAATGCGAAAGACCCTCGGGGGGTCCCAAGTGTCTTTTTTTAACATTGTGAAAAATGTCTAGGATCCCTAGTGTTTTTTTTAAGAAATACATTTTTTATCTGAAAGAATTTCCGTTCTCCAACTGTCTTTTTTAGTAAAGAATCTTGGGGGCTCTAAGTGTTTTTTTTTTTAAGAATGCGGAAGAATCTCGGGGTTTCTAGTGTCTTTTTTTAATGCGAAAAAATCTCGGGAACCTCAAGCGCCTGTTTTTAGGAGTGCGAAAGAATCTCGGTAACCCCAAGTGTCCACAAAAATGTACGTCTCGCGTTTCATCCGTGTGTCTGTCTATTTTGGCTATAAACCGGACCGACTGTTTTGTTTTATTTGAAAAAACTATAAAATAGGTTCTTGAAAATTGTAATCTTTTGGAATTTCTTGATGATTGAGATACCACATCCCATAAAACACAAACACAAAACAAATATTAAAAATAACAGTATTGCGACTTTTTTGAGAACCTTTTTATTGAAAAAAAAGAAGAATTTTTTCAAAATGGTGAACGTAATTTTATATTGTACTTTTTCCAAATCACAGATACACTATAGTTTTTTTTAAGTCGTTCTACTATTTAGATAGCCACATTTTATTTAAAGTGACTCATTTGATGTGCAGATGCAACAAACAACAAAAAAATAGCAGAAAAAAATGATGTTTTTGTAATTTAAAAGTCGATTTTTCACACGTTAAAATATAATTTTGAAAAAATGAAAATTACATGCTTTGTCTTGCACACTTTGGCAATATTTTTTGAAATTAAACACAGTGAGTAAGCTTATTTAAAGCCATTCAAAGTATTTCCACTCTAGAACACACCGCGCGATAATGATAAACGATCGTATGATTATAAAAATTGGGTTATCTAATGGAAATAAGTACTTCTAACACATCTTTGATGAAATATCGATCTTGATAACATTGAAGGCCAAAAAAAGCGTATCATTTTCAAATCACTTTTCCCAATACCCTGTACTTCCCCCACTTTGCCAATCTTACCGATCAATTTGTTGTAAATCGGCACAAACAAGTTGATCACGCGCCCTCCGGCCAGCAGCACGAAACAGAAAATCACCCTGAACTGCAACAACACGTCCTTCTTCGGCCACACGAACGGCGCCAAAATCCGCACCTTCTTCCAGAAGTTCCTCCATGTCGACTGGTTCTCCGCCCGGTCCTGCAACACACGATCAGCAATCCAGCACCGCCTGTCACAAAAATAACCTTAAACTTCACGCTGACGTCGATGTTTTTGAACGTGACGTTGGCCTTAACGCGCTTCATTTTACTATACGAACAATTTGGCTTAGCGGTAGACATTTGTCAAGATTTTTATTTACGTTGGGATTTGACGTTCTTAGTTGTTTGCAGTGGATTTATTTCGGATACTGTTACACAACGTATCGCAATGAGACTTACTTGTGGTGGAAGGTTCCGCGTCGAATCGTTGAGTGTGAAATAATTGATGTTTTGCGTGATGCCGGGCGCCTTCAGGCCGAGCAGGAACATCAGCAGGCAGGAGAGGTAGCGCAGGACGAAGAGCGCCATCTCGATCTGGTCGCCAGTCCTGCGGGAGGGCAAAGTTAGATGGGTTTTGGGGGGTTCCGTACTCACGTTTTCAGCTGGAACCACCATTCTTTCTTGTCGAGGTTGAAGAAGGCCAAGTTTTCGGAGATAAAGACGAGGGTCCAGAAGAGGAGGAGGACGATGCCGTGGCCCTTGGTGGGCACGGAAGGGAGCAAGTAGTGGCGCTCGACGCGGACGACGAGAAGAGAGAAGGGGTAGGCGAGAAGATTTAGAATCAGATATACAATCTAAAACAAAAACAAAAATCACAATCGGTGCTATTTTTGGAAATGCGGTGTTTTCAGTTGTCACATATAACTAGGATTAATTTCACGCTTATTTAAATAAATAATGATAATAAAATTGTTAGAAGTTAGAAAAAAGCAACTCATGGTAATTACGTGTGTGTAGGTTAATATACTTCGAAATTGCCGAGTTCGACCTTGATAACAATTTTATATATATATAAATCTACTTAAGTATGTTTTTATTTAGTTACCTATTAATTGATAATTGTTGTTATTAAAGTGTTCGCTGTTTGTATTGAATTTTATAATGACAGGAGAGAAATCAATAACACTTTGTATTTTTGTTCCACTGACACTATTTAGTGGCAATCATCAACCTTGGAGGTGTTTCCTATATTAAATATCATCACATGATAATTTTTTTATGAATTAGCAGGAAATGAAATGACGCGTTTTGGGCAAAATAGTGGCATAAAAAGTGATTAATCTTCCACAATGCGCATCCCGATTTTAAACAATTAATGTTTGCAGCTTACGCTAACATTGTTTTCTTGATTAGAGAATATCGACCAAAATTTACATCTTCGTCCTCTTCAGACAACTGATGACGTAATTTTAAAAAGGTTGAAAAATATTTAGAAACATTAGAATATCACAGTATCTTTTTATAAGTAAACAGTCAAGATACAAGACTATGAGAAAAAATCAATTGTTTTTATTTGTCTATCTCTAACAAGTGTATGTACATTAAAAAATATATTTGGAGCAAGCCTTCGAACTGATTCATCACTCATTGCTATCTTAAATGCAGTCGGCTTTACAGATAATTGACATTTGAATTGTGGATAAATTTTTCGCAGTTTTTTGTTATTTCATCTTTTGCTTTGTTTGCGTGATTTCAGTTTTTTTCGAAGCTTCATAACCTCTAGAATATGAAAAAGTAGGACCAGCGTTTTCGTCTATCTGTTGTCCGTCGAATATTGGTGATACATAGATATGTATTATGAAATTTTAGGTATATATCAGGAAGACCTCAAAATTATAAGGGAAAAATCGTTTCTAAAATGCACAAAATACTATCAGTCTACATTAAATGTACCTAGTATCTACATCAAATGACTGATAGTATTTTGTGCATGAATACGTTAATGGGCCACAAAAAAACATTAACGTATTCATATTTATTTACAAAAGGAATCTCCGAGATTCTTCCAAACTACCTCAAAAACAAAACAAAAGGGGTCCCCGAGATTCTTTCAAACTACTTCAAAAACCAGACACAAGAGGTCCCCGAGATTCTTCGAACTACTTCAAAAACCAGACACAAAGGCTCTCCGACATTTTTTCAAACTACGTCCAAAACAAAATGGGTCCCTGAGATTCTTTTAAACTACTTCAAAAACCAGACACAAGGGGTCCCCCTGAGATTCTTTCAAAACTACTTTAAAAACAAAGCAAAAGAGGTCTCCGAGATTCTTTCAAATTACTTCAAAAACAAAACACAAGGGAAGTCTTTCAAATTTCTTCAAAAACACAATAAAAAGGGTCCGCGAGATTCTTTCAAACTACTTCAAAAACAAAACATAAGGGAATACATTCAAATCGCCTTAATAACACAACAAAATGGGCCCCGAGATTATTTCAAACTACTTCAAAAACCAGACAGAAGTTGTCTTTGCGATTCTTTCAACCTACTTCAAAAAACAGACGCAAGGGGTCCCTTAGATTCTTTCAAACTACTTCAAAAACAAACCAAAAGGTGTCTCCCAGATTCTTTCAAACCACTGCAAAAACCAGACATAAGGAGTCCCCGAGATTCTTCCAAACTACTTCAAAAAGCAGACACAAGGGATCCCCGAAATTCTTCAAATTACTTTAAAAACCAGACACAAAGAGTCTCCGACATTTTTTCCAACTATGTCAAAAACAAAATACAATGGGTCCCCGAGATTATTTCAAACTATGTACTTCAAAAACCAGACATAAGGAGCCTCTGAGATTCTTCAAAACTACTTCAAAAACAAAACAAAAGGCGCCTCCGAGATTCTTTCAAGCTACTTCAAAAATCAGACACAAGGGGTCCCTTGGATGTTTTCAAACTACTTTAAAAACAAACCAAAAGGGGTTTCCGAGATTCTTTCAAAGTATATACTTCAAAAACCGGACAAAGCTTCCTCGAGACTCTTCAAACTACTTCAAAAACCTGACACAAAAGGTCTCCGACATTTTTTCAAACCACGTCAAGAACAAAACAAAATGTGTCCCCGAGATTCTTTTAAACTACTTCAAAAAGCAAACACAAGGGGTTGCTGAGATTCTTTCAACTTACTTACTTTAAAAATAAACCAAAAAGGGTCCCCGCGATTCTTTCAAACCATTTCAAAAATAAAACACAATAAAATGGGTTCCCGACATTCTTTCAAATTACTTCAAAAACAGGAGATAAAGGGTCTCCAAGATTCTTCCAAACTACTTTAAAAACAAAACAAAAGGGATTCGCGAGATTCTTTCAAATTACTTCAAAAACCAGACACAAAGAATCCCCACGTCAAGAACAAAACAAAATGTGTCCCCGAGATTCTTTTAAACTACTTCAAAAAGCAAACACAAGGGGTTGCTGAGATTCTTTCAAACTACTTTAAAAATAAACCAAAAAGGGTCCCCGCGATTCTTTCAAACCACTTCAAAAATAAAACACAAGGGAAGTCTTTTGAATTTCTTCAAAAACACAAAAAAGGTGTCAGCGAAATTTTTTTAAATTATTTAAAAAACCAGACACAAGGACTCCCCGAGATTCTTTCAAAATACTTCAAAAACAAAACATAAGAGAAGAGATTCAGATTGTTTTAAAAACATAACAAAATGGGCCCCGAGATTCTTTCTTACTACTTCAAAAACCAGACACAAATTGTCCATGAGATTCTTACAACCTACTTCAAAAACCAGACACAAGGGGTACCTGAGATTCTTTCAAACTACTTCAAAAACAAACCAAAAGGTGTCTCCGAGATTCTTTCAAAACACTTCAAAAACCAGACATAAGGAGTCCCCGAGATTCTTCCAAACTACTTTAAAAAGCAGACGCAAGGGAGCCCCGAAATTCTTCGAGCTACTTCAAAAACAAAACAAATGGGGTCCGCCAGATTCTTTTAAATTACTTCAAAAACCAGACACAAGGGTTCCCCGAGATTCTTTCAAGCTACTTCAAAAACCAGACACAAGGAATCCCCTAGATTCTTCAAACTACTTTAAAAACCAGACACAAAGGGTCTCCGACATTCTTTCAAACTACGTCAAAAACAAAACACAATGAGTCCCCGAGATTCTTTCAAACTATGTGATTCAAAAACCATACATAAGGAGTCCCTGAGATTCTTCAAAACTACTTCAAAAAAAAAGGCGCCTCCGAGATTCTTTCAAAGTATATACTTCAAAAACCGGACAAAGCTTCCTCGAGACTCTTCAAACTACTTCAAAAACCTGACACAAAGAATCTCCGACATTTTTTCAAACTACGTCAAAAACAAAACAAAATGTGTCCACGAGATTCTTTTAAACTACTTCTAAAAGCAAACACAAGGGGTTGCTGAGATTCTTTCAGACTACTTAAAAAACAAATCAAATGGGGTTTCGAGATTTTTTGAAACCACTTTAAAAACCAGATACAAGGGGTCCTTGTGATTCTTTCAAACTACTTAAAAAATAAACCAAAAAGGGTCCCCGCGATTCTTTCAAACTATTTCAAAAATAAAACACAAGGGAAGTCTTTCGAATTTCTTCAAAAACACAAAAAAGGGGTCGGCGAAATTTTTCAAATTATTTCAAAAACCAGACACAAGGACTCCCCGAGATTCTTTCAAAATACTTAAAAACAACACATAAGGGACATTCAAATTGCTTTAAAAACATAACAAAATGGGCCCCGATATTCTTTCAAACTACCTACTTCAAAAACCAGACATAAATTGTTCTTGAGATTCTTTCAACCTATTTCAAAAACCAGATACAAGGGGTCCCTGAGATTCTTTCAAACTACTTCAAAATCAAACCAAAAGGTGTCTCCGAGATTCTTTCAAAACACTTCAAAAACCAGACATAAAGAGTCCCCGAGATTCTTCCAAACTACTTCAAAAAGCAGACACAAGGGATCCCCAAAATTCTTCGAGCTACTTCAAAAACAAAACAAATGGGGTCTGCGAAATTCTTTCAAATTACTTCAAAAACCAGACACAAGGGGTCCCCAAGATTGTTTCAAGCTACTTCAAAAACCAGACACAAAGAATCCCCGAGATTCTTTCAAACAATTTACTTTAAAAACAAACCAAAAGGGGTCTATGAGTTTCAAACCACTTCAAAAACCAGACCTAAGGAGGCCCAAGATTCTTCCAAACTACATCAAAAATAAAACAAAAGAGGTCTGAGAGATTCTTTCAAATTACTTCAAAAACCAGACTTTAAAAACAAAACAAAAGGGATGCGCAAGATTCTTTCAAATTACTTCAAAAACCTGACACAAGAGGTCCCCTAGATTCTTTCAAACTACTTCAAAAACCTGACACAAAGTGTCCCTGAGATTCTTTCAATCAATTTACTTTAAAAATATACCAAAAGGGGTCTCTAAAATTCTTTCAAACCACTTCAAAAATCAGACATAAGGAGTCCTCGAGATGCTTCCAAACTACTTCAAAAACAAAACAATAGTGGTTCGCGAGATTCTTTCTAATTGCTTGAAAAACCAGACACATGGGGTCCCCGAGATTCTTTCAAATTACTTCAAAAACCAGACACAAGGGGTCCCCTAGATTCTTTCAAACTACTTCAAAAACCAGACACAAAGAGTCCCTGAGATTCTTTCAAACAATTTACTTTAAAAACAAACCAAAAGGGGTCTCTGAGATTCAAACCACTTCAAAAACCAGACCTAAGGAGTCCCAAGATTCTTCCAAACTACATCAAAAATAAAACAAAATGGTTCCCCCAGATTCTTTCAAATTACTTCAAAAACAAAACAAAAATGGTTCGCGAGATTCTTTCAAATTACTTGAAAACCCAGACACATGGGGTCCGCGAAATTCTTTCAAACTACTTCAAAAACAAATCAAAAAGTCCCCAGATTCCTTCAAATTATTTAAAAATAAAAGTGGTCCCCGAGATTCTGTCAAACTACTTAAAAAATTAGCCATAAGTGCTCCCCGAGATTCTTTCAAACTACTCGAAAAACAAAAAAAGGGTCTCTGAGTTCCTTTAAACTAATTCAAAAAACAGACATAAGAGTTCCTCGAGATTCTTTCAAACTATTAACTTCAAAAACCAGACACAATCGGTCGCCGAGGTTTTTTCAAAGTATGTACTTCAAAAACTTGGCACCCACACAACCACGCACGCCACATAACCTCAAAAACAACACCCACAACAAACATGTACACACATTTACAAACATCTATAACAACTTATTGAGCTCTAAATTATATAAAACTATTGTAAAATCAACATACTTCTTGTAGAAGCAGGAGGCTGAACCAAAATTATTACATTAATTAATATGATTACTAAACAACAATAAATCCCAGCACACTGCCTTTTCTTTTTCGCCATTTTTTGTCCCCTTTTTCCTCTCGTTTTATTTTTATTTTATTTTTTTGTAATATTTTTTGTACCCGTTTTTGTAGCCTTTCTTTCGTCTTTGCTACAAAGTTGCTGATGTCACCACAAAATTAAATACACTAATGATTGTTTTATATCGAGACTGCAATGGCCATGGACTTTTCGTCTTGACAGTAATCTGACAAGTCGAACACAAAATTTCAAAAATCAATGGCCATATTTGACCGTGTTTTTATTGCTCTCTCGGTATTACATATTTAGATTTTTACGCCTATCTCTGAATTCGATGGAACCAAGAAAGACAGATGTATGAAAATTTGTTTTCCATGTCCACTCCTCATAAGAAACATTTTGTTTCAAAAACAATGTACATAGGATAAATTTTTATAAACAGACAAAAATGTGTTTAAACATCCCGCCGTTTCATTATATGTCCTATTTTCATTTTAGCGTTCAACCGTAGACGTTCACTTTGCAGGCACGTGATCAGTCCATCTCTTCGGTAAACGGACTTCAAAAGACCGACGTTCTGGACTTATCAGATTGACCAATTTTTCACGTTTTCTTTCCAGGTGTTTTATTTAAACAAATGGATAATTTTTTTTTTTATTTATAAATATTCTGCCAGACAAAAAAACGGACAATGGTTAGGTTACCGCTTTCACTTTCTACGACGTAGCTTTAGACTCAACGTTAAACATGTCATTTCAGAGAAGACATACGGATTTAATTCCAAGGGTGACTCGACTACAAATTATGTTGCTCGCCTGGTATCAACCACTATATTAACACAGTTGGCATTTGGCAATGTCTACCACTGCGTATTAGAAAAGGTTATTTTTAACATCTATGTTGTAATATATAAATACATACATTTCTGCGAAATTTCTCAAAGAAAAATTGGTCTCTTTTATCTCAACAATCGCCTTGAACTTTCTGACTTGCTTCTTGTATAGCATGATAAATTCTGATGAATCATCATGCGGGAAAAACGTAACGTAAATGGCCCTTTTTTGAATTAACTGATTTAGTGACTTTCAAAATACAAAAATATTAAACAATACTAAATTAAATACATAAATGTCAACACTTAACCTGACAGGTACACTCCTCGTCACTATTTAAAGATGCTAATGTACACCATGTTTTATCATCTCGTTATCACTCCATTGTCTACAATCCCAAAAAAATTACAATATATTCATCTAATTTGCATACAAAATAAAAGCGAACCTTTCTAACACGTGTACGTGAACGATAATGAAACAAACACATAAAAATTCCGAGTCAACATTACCTTACTCAGTAAAAATTTAGCAATTAAAATACACACAAATCTGCATATTTACAGTGCAAATATTTTCATTCCACTCTCCCTCACCTAATAAAAATGTGGACAACTCATTAGTACTTTCCTCAGCGTTAGAATCGTCCCGGAAACCAAACAAGATAACAGATCATCAAAAAAAATTCAAGTCACGTCATCAAATAAAAACAAGACGTGTTTATCGCTAATTTATAGCGACTTATCTTGACGCGACATTACTTAGTTAGAAAAATGAGGTTATGTCAGTCACTTTGTGACAACTTCAACTTTTGCTAAATTTACTAGCCACTCACCATGTACCCGTAAATTTGCTCCTTCAGGACCGTCGCTTGCAGGATGAACCTTATAACCTCCAAAATAGGCACCAAAAGCGTCACGAATATTTGGAAATGGTACAGTCTTGACTTAACTAAATGATTTGGTGATATCTCAGTCCCGTATTTTCTGTACATGCATAATTGAATCGTGCCGGCTATTAAAATAAAGCCGGCTATCACCGAAGACAGCACCGTCTCCATGAAGCACTCTGACGTCCCATGGTCCACCCAGACGTCCCAAATATGGACGCCTGGAGAGCAGTACGACATATTAGCCACCATTTTCTAATACTGCAAAGGGTGAAACGTTGTTTTAAAACATCCATGCGAATTTTTAAAAATCGTGGTTTCAGGTGAACACACTTACCTAATTCATGCCACAATTTACGTACTTATAATATAATTCATAATAATTACGAGGTGTGTTCGTTAAACACAAAATTACACGGTTTTTAGGATGTAAACACGTTTATTGTTGTTTAATTGTTTTGTTTAGTCATCACACCGACATTTTCGGTGACGTTTCGAAAGTGAGGTTAGGTTAACGACGGGGAGACAGGGGCGCACTAGTCGAAAGATACCGTTTGTTGATGATGTTCGATTAACAAAATATTGATATGTCAAAGACGGGCACTACTTAACATTTACTGGTGTTTTGGCGTTATCTAATCAGTGACTGCAAAACCGACTGCTTTAAATTGACTTAATTCGTTGTTGGGTAGGCAACCAACAATACCCGCGATGACAATGCTGAGGCAGTGGCGTACAGTTACGTGGATCGATAAATCGGGGCGAAATGGTAGCAACCCAAAATACAGTCACCGCGGCGCCACTGCCCGCGCGTCGCTAGGCAACCACCAATCCACGGGCCCGTCCTCACATTGGCGGCACGCCGCTCCCCTCCACGATTCGGCGAATTTGAAAATAATTCCCGAAAAAAGTGTGTTTACTCCTCATCAAGCAGCACCACGTGAATAGCCACCTGATCACCTAATCGTCGCGTGTGTGCAACGAATTATCACCTCTCCTTTGAAATTGTTTGTTATGAAGTGCTAACAAGTACTCGATAGTGTTTTTCTAATTAACGATTTTATCTTATTTTTTGACACAGTTATTTTCTTCATAAGCATCATTCTCGCGACGGAGTTCTTATCAGACTGTCGGCGGAGTTGTGGCAGTGCGCGAGGAAAATATTTTTGTTCAGAGGAGCATCGAACTCGGTGTCACCCGATGGGTTAAGTTGAATGGGATCTGCAGGTAGGTGGAGTGCGGTGGAGGGAAGCCCCTGAGGTCCGGAGGAAATTGGGAGTTAATTGGGTTTTTTTTGAGGAAGAGGGTTAATGGAGAGGAGCAATTATAATGTCGTTTAGATTTTTTGGTTTTGTTTCACGTAGCCCCACGAGTGCATTTTTTGTTTTATTTGTGCTTTTTTTAATCGGTGATGTATTTTATATAATTCGACTAATCGCTTTGTTAGTAGCGTTTTCGCCTTCAAAAAAATTCTGTAGTTTGATTTATACTTCAAATTTATTTTCAGTTATATAAGTGTTGTGTTGGTGGTTATTTTTATTATTATTATTATTATTATTATGATTTAATATATAATAATAAATTTATTCGCAATAGCTCGTAAAAAACAATAATATAAAAACACCTGTGTTTCTCTAGTTAACAATTACGATTATTTCTTAATAAAGCGCTGATTTAATTATTGTCTATTTTATAATGAATTTTCTAAAACACGTCTCACAACCAACTTTTAGTGCAAAAGGGTATGCTCAGAATAAAAGTTTTGTCTGTATCTGAATCTGTTCTAATCTCGTAAAAAGTTGAATAGTTTTAGTGATGGCGTCATAGGGATGAGCTAATGAATTTTGTTAATCTTCTGTAATCACTACACCATTTTTTAATCGTTAGTTAAGGTTTTAAAGAAGTTTATAAATAATTATTAATATATAAAGATAGGGTTGGATTATTGAATTGTAGATAAAAAAAAATATGCTGTAATATGTTCTGCGACATAATTTCTTTTAAAAAATTTAATGGTGCCTTTCATTTTTTGTGAGGGCAAATGGCAAAATTAGATTAATTAATTTTGGATTAATTAATAAAAAAATCCTTCATCCATTGCTCATTTCTGGAGGGAGTAAAAAATATTTAGCAATAATTACTAAGTCAGTGTTACAAAACTTTCAGAGAAATCCTTGGTGTTTAATTCTATACATTTTTTTTGTCCCATAAAAAACCCACACACATACCATAGATAACAAACAAACCCAAACGGGGAACTACTTTTTCAAGTTCTAGGATCTACGACGCGTCGAGAAAATACAAATTTAGAACATCACGCACAAAAACGCTTAAATTTTTTTATTTTTATTTTTTACCGCTACAATTACGATTTAGACGAAAAAATAAGGAAAAAATAAAAACACTCGGACTCAAGTCCTAAAATTATGGTTGCATGTACATAAAAAAATGTCGCTGTCACTTTTATAACCTGTAAAAATTGATTTTGTATCCAAGATTTAAAAAAATTGTGTGTTTTTGAACAGACTGTAGATTTCTCTAGAAACAATGTAATGCTTCGATAAACCTAAAAACGGCATCTTTAAGAACGAATTCAGGAGATTTTGTCTCATAAAATAGACACACACGAAAGACAGATAACGAATAAACGAAAACGAGGACCTACTTTTACCTATTCTAGAAGCTACGAAACGTCGAGAAAATACGACCTTAGAAAATCAGCAAATCACCCTTACTTTATACTAAAAACTACGAAGTAGAAAGTAATTAATAACACATAGTGCATCTGAAAACAAATAAAAATCGGATGGAATATTTAGCGAGAAAAATGGACAAAAGCGCTTAAATTTTTTTATTTTCTACCGTCACGATTACGATTTGGACGAAAAAATAAGGAAAAAAATAAAACACTCGGACTCAAGTCCTAAAATTATAATTGCAGGCACATAAAAAATGTCGCTGTCACTTTTATAACCTGTAAAAATTGATTTTGTACCCAAGATTTAAAAAAATTGTATGCGTTTTTGGACATACTGTATATTTCTCTAGAAACAATGTAATGCTTCGATAAACCTAAAAACGGCATCTTTAAGAACGAATTTAGGAGATTTTGTCTCATAAAATAGACACACACGAAAGACAGATAACGAATAAACGAAAACGAGGACCTACTTTTACCTATTCTAGAAGCTACGAAACGTCGAGAAAATACGACCTTAGAAAATCAGCAAATCACCCTTACTTTATACTAAAAATTACGAAGTAGAAAGTAATTAATAACTCATAGTCCATCTGAAAACAAATAAAAATCGGATGGAATATTTAGCGAGAAAAATGGACAAAAGCGCTTAAATTTTTTTATTTTCTACCGTCACGATTACGATTTGGACGAAAAAATAAGGAAAAAAATAAAAACACTCGGACTCAAGTCCTAAAATTATAGTTGCATGCACATAAAAAAATGTCGCTGTCACTTTTGTAACCTGTAAAAATTGATTTTGTGTACCCAAGATTTAAAAAAATTGTATGCGTTTTTGGACAGACTGTATATTTCTCTAGAAACAATGTAATGCTTCGATAAACCTAAAAACGGCATCTTTAAGAACGAATTTAGGAGATTTTGTCTCATAAAATAGCCACACACAAAAGACAGATAACGAATAAACTAAAACAAGGACCTACTTTTGGATATTCTAGAATCTACGAAACGTCGACAAAATACGACCTTAGAAAATCAGCAAATCACCCTTACTTTATACTAAAAAGTACGAAGTAGAAAGTAATTAATAACACATAGTGCATCTGAAAACAAATAAGAATCGAATGGAATATTTAGCGAGAAAAATGGACAAAATCGCAAAAAGTTTTTTATTTTCTACCGTCACGATTACGATTTGGACGAAAAAATAAGGAAAAAAATAAAAACACTCGGACTCAAGTCCTAAAATTATAGTTGCATGCACATAAAAAAATGTCGCTGTCACTTTTGTAACCTGTAAAAATTGATTTTGTACCCAAGATTTAAAAAAATTGTATGCGTTTTTGGACAGACTGTATATTTCTCTAGAAACAATGTAATGCTTCGATAAACCTAAAAACGGCATCTTTAAGAACGAATTTAGGAGATTTTGTCTCATAAAATAGCCACACACAAAAGACAGATAACGAATAAACGAAAACGGGGACACACTTTTGCATATTCTAGAATCTACGAAACGTCGAGAAAATACGACCTTAGAAAATCAGCAAATCACCCTTACTTTATACTAAAAATTACGAAGTAGAAAGTAATTAATAACACATTTTAAAAATTGATTTTGTCCCTAAGATTTAAAAAAATTGTATGCGTTTTTGGTCAGACTGTATATTCTTCTAGTGCTCGATAAACCTAAAATGGGCATTTGAAAGAACGAATTTAGGAAATTTTGTGTCATAAAATATCCACACACAATTGACAGATCACGAATAAACGAAAACGAGGACCTACTTTGCCATATTCTAGGATCTACGAAACGACCTTAGGCTTACACTAAAATTTACGAAATCGCAAGACATTGTTATTCTCACACTTGTCAGTTTTATTTTTTTATTGGAAAATTTATTTGTTCTTGAGATTAAAATCAATGTTTAAGCGTTAAGTAACAATGTAGTGTCACGATAAACCTACAAACTTATAGACTTTACTTTCTATCAATTAGATACGTATCTCTGCTCTTACGACAAAATGACATCATCAGCAATTTTTAAACGAAATCATATCTTTCCTCATGTTAATAAATTCCTATATTTTTACAACACGGTTAAACGAAAGTCATAATTTAAAAAACTGCAACAAGACTAATTAAAATGAATTAAAATACATATGTGTAAGGAATCCTGGACTTTATTCGTAATTTATTCAAGCGAAACAATTCTACTTGATAATCATGACATCGTGGCTATTATTAACTGAATAATTAGTCTCAAGGATATTAATAGTGTACCTTATTTTATGATATTCTTATAGTGAGTGCTGAACAAATGAACATTTGTTGCTTTCTCACTTTTATGTTATGTGTTCGCTCGAGTGTGTATAATTTCTGTTTCGGAACCAGAAAAAATGATGGCATTGAAAATTATTGCACATACAAGTATACACCACTTTAATACTTACAATGCAAAAACTATGTAAATTTATTGCCGCGACGTTAAAAAAATTATTACTTTTCAAGTTCCTTTGTAAAAAAATTGTACTCATTGTTATGTTTTCAACGCACTAAAGTGTGCACAATGTTCTAGAACAAAATGTCTCGAATAATACCTAACTGTCCACTTTTAAAGTTCATTAACTTTAAAAGTGATGAAGATACGTTGACGGAAGACTGGCGTACAACCAACATCTGTAAGTTATTAAGGATTACTTGGTGATTATGTAATTTATCTGGATCTGATTGACGGCAACACAACTTAGTAGATCTTGTAAAGTTTATTGTGTCACCCCAAAGTTCCAAATCTTGCTACTATACCAAATAAAATCGTCCACTTGTGATGGTCCAAATTGAAAAGTGGTGTAGCACTAATTGTCTGTGATAATGATCAGGTTCCATTCAAGTAAGTGTTTCACGATAAATACTCGCAAGTTAGTGGTAGACAGCGATTCTACTTAAAATAGTCAATTACAAACAAACGACGTAAAAAAAGTCATAATGACGTTTTTATAATAATGGGTTCTTTGTTTTTCTTAATTTAAAACAAGTTTCTTTTACTATTTATTAAACAGATGTTATTAATGATTATTATGTGCGGAATGGAAAGAAATTTACAGAAACAACTGCAAAATTGTTTGTGTTGAACGTCCAGAACGAATACCGCTTTTGATGTGTTAATTACAACATCGGCGCTTTGCCAGAATGTTGCTGAAATTCCATGGACCATTTTGAAAAACATAACATTTCTTCTAATATTTTTGAGAAACTCGCAACTATTGTTATAAATATTACGCAAATTTATGGAATGCGTTTATTCGATATTGTAGCTTTGTGGAGAAATAAACAATTTTATTACTTTGATAAAAAATTCATTTTAAGTTTCATGGTCGAATGAATAAAATAAACCTTAACTGATTTTTATTATAGTTTATAAAAACGAAAGTTTGGCCTAACATTTTTAAGGTTAGGCTATAAAACCGCCGTTTTTGTTTTTAGTATTTTAGGCCTAGAGTGCCTTTGTCGTGGTGTAACATGTCATTACTTTCATGGTCATTCTTCAATAGCAAATATGAAGTACTTGGGACGGGGTTGCTATGAAACGAAACTAATGTTAATCTTCCATGACATACCTAAACGTAGGCTGAAAGTCCATGAGTAGGATAGTTTCAGGGCTTTCGCTTGATTAAATTTAATAATCTAATCGATAACTAACAGTTAACAGAAATTTTTAAACAGTAATAACTTTAGTGGTTTACAAGATTATATTTTAACAAAATTGTCACAGACACAGTACTAAAGGAACAGTAACTGAAAAAGTTAAACACGAAATTGACCATTCATAGCGCATTCAGATCCTAAAAATTTCTAGAACCCTGCTACAATATCTCCCTTAGTTATCAGTCTAAAAGTATTTTTTTTTCACTTCAATATTCAAGCATGCCATGTCCATACATTACAGTTTCTGGTTTATACTACAAAATTGTGCCTCAATGTTAAAAAATTCTGGTCTTCTCCTTTGTATATAAAAAAGAACTGAAAATATAAAAAAAGTTTTAAAAATTCCGAATTAACTGAAAAATTAAAATACAAAAATGCCATTCATAGCGCACTTAAATCCTAAAAATTTCTAGTACTCTGCTTCAATATTTCCCTTAGTTATAAATTTCAAAGTATTTTTTTGTTTTTCACTTCAATGTTCAAGCATGCCATGGCCATACATTATATATACTCTGATTTATACTACGAAGTTGTGACACATTGTTAAAAAAATTCTTCTATTCTCTAGGTATAAAAAAACTAAAAAATGGTTTTCTAAAAACAGTACTAAAGGAAAAAGTTCTTAACATTCCAAATTAACTGAAAAAATTAAACACAAAATTGACCATTCATAGCGCACTCAGATCCTAAAAATGTCTAGTACCTTCCTGCATTATTTCCCTTTGTCATAAATCTCAAAGTATTTTTGGTTTTACCCTCCGATATCAAGTATGCAATATCCATTTATTGTAGGTTCTGGTATATACAAAGTCGTGGCACAATGTCCAAAATTCTTGTATTTTCGATGTACAAAAAAAAAACTAAAAAATATTTTTCTAAAAACAGTAATAAATAAAAGTTCTTAACATTCCGAATTAACTGAAAAAATTAAACCAAAAAAGTGACCATTCATTACGCATTCAGATCCTAAAAATTTCTAGAACCCTGCTACAATATCTCCCTTAGTTACCAGTCTAAAAGTATTTTTTTTCACTTCAATATTCCAGCATGCCATGTCCATATATTACAGGTTCTGGTTTATACTACAAAATTGTGCCTCAATGTTAAAAAATTCTGGTCTTCTCTTTTGTATATAAAAAAGAACTGAAAATATAAAAAAACTTTTAAAAATTCCGAATTAACAGAAAAATTAAAATACAAAAATGACTATTCATAGCGCACTTAAATCCTAAAAAGTTCTAGTATTCTGCGTCAATATTTCCCTCAGTTATAAATTTCAAAGTATTTTTTTGTTTTTCACTTCAATGTTCAAGCATGCCCCGGCCATACATTATATATACTCTGATCTATACTACAAAGTTGTGATACATTTTGAAAAAATTCTTCTATTTTCTAGGTATAAAAAAACTAAAAAATGTTTTTCTAAAAACAGTACTAAAGGACAAAGTTCTTAAAATTCCAAAGTAACTGAAAAAATTAAACACAAAATTGACAATTCATAGCGCACTCAGATCCTAAAAATTTCTAGTACCTTGCTGCATTATTTCCCTTAGTCATAAATCTCAAAGTGTTTTTGGTTTCACGCTGTGATATTAAGTATGTCATGCCCATACAATATAGGTTCTAGTATATCTAAAGTTGTGTCACAATCTTCAAAATTCTTGTATTTTCTATGTACAAAAAAAAACTAAAAAATATTTTTCTAAAAACAGTAATAAATAAAAGTTCTTAACATTCCGAATTAATTGAAAAAATTAAACCAAAAAAGTGACCATTCATTACGCACTCAGATCCTAAAAATTTCTAGAACCCTGCTACAATATCTCCCTTAGTTATCAGTCTAAAAGTATTTTTTTTCACTTCAATATTCAATCATGCCATATCCATACATTACAGGTTCGGGTTTATACTACAAAATGGTACCACAATGTTAAAAAATTCTGGTCTTCTCCTTTGTATGTAAAAAAGAACTGAAAATATAAAAAAAAAATAAAAATTCTGAATTAACTGAAAAATTAAAATACAAAAATGACCATTCATAGCGCACTTAAATCCTAAAAATTTCTAGTACTCTGCTTCAATATTTTCCTTAGTTATAAATTTCAAAGTATTTTTTTGTTTTTCACTGCAATGTTCAAGCATGCCATGGCCATACATTATATATACTCTGTTCTATACTACAAAGTTGTGACACATTTTTAAAAAATTCTTCTATTCTCTAGGTATAAAAAAAACTCAAAAATGTTTTTCTAAAAACAGTACTAAAGGAAACAGTTCTAAAAATTCCAAAGTAACTGAAAAAATTAAACACGAAATTGACCATTCATAGTGCACTCAGATCCTAAAAATTTCTAGTACCTTGCTGCATTATTTCCCTTTGTCATAAATCTCAAAGTATTTTTGGTTTTACGCTCCGATATCAAGTATGTAATGTCCATTCATTGTAGGTTCTGGTATATACAAAGTCGTGGCACAATGTTCAAAATTCTTGTATTTTCTATGTACAAAAAAAAAACTTAAAAATATTTTTCTAAAAACAGTACCAAAGCAAAAAGTTCTTAAAATTCCAAAGTAACTGAAAAAATTAAACACGAAATTGACCATTCATAGTGCACTCAGATCCTAAAAAATTCTAGTACCTTGCTGCATTATTTCCCTTTGTCATAAATCTCGAAGTATTTTTGGTTTTACGCTCCGATATCAAGTATGCAATGTCCATTCATTGTAGGTTCTGGTATATACAAAGTCGTGGCACAATGTTCAAAATTCTTGTATTTTCTATGTACAAAAAAAAAAAAAAAAAACTAAAAAATATGTTTCTAAAAACAGTAATAAATAAAAGTTCTTAGCATTCCGAATTAATTGAAAAAATTAAACCAAAAAAGTGACCATTCATTACGCACTCAGATCCCAAAAATTTCTAGAACCCTGCTACAATATCTCCCTTAGTTATCAGTCTAAAAGTTTTTTTTTTTTCACTTCAATATTCAAGCATGCCATGTCCATACATTACAGGTTCTGGTTTATACTACAAAATTGGGTCTCAATGTTAAAAAATTCTGGTCTTCTCTTTTGTATATAAAAAAGAACTGAAAATATAAAAAAAGTTTTAAAAATTCCGAATTAACTGAAAAATTAAAATACAAAAATGACCATTCATAGCGCACTTAAATCGTAAAAATTTCTAGTACTCTGCTTCAATATTTCCCTTAGTTATCAATCTCAAAGTACTTTTTTGTTTTTCACTTCAATGTTCAAGCATGCCATGCCCATACATTACATAGACTCTGATCTATATTACGAAGTTGTGACACATTCCTAAAAACGGTAATAAAAAGAAAGTTCTCAAAAATACGAATTAACTGAAAAAATTTAAGACAAAACTGACCATTCACAGCACACTCAAATGCTAAAACTTCTCCCGAAAAAATTATAACTGCTCCAAAAACTCCAAAACCCGTAAAAAATCCAAGAATGCCGAAACCCAGCATAATAACACACTTCCCCGGGTCCATCCGCAATTACCCCTCCTCCTCCCCCCGTCACCCATCACGCAACACAAACCGCGAATTCCTCATTCTCCACGGACCCACCTTTCGACACTCAGTCGTTCCGCGGTTCTCTCCACTCCCATACGTCACCCATCACCCATCGCCCCATCGCCCCAACCCTCCCCCACTCCTCCCATGACCCAAAATCCCGGATCCGCGACCCATGCAACCGTTTTATAGCGGCGGCCAAAGCCCACTTCAATAATAATAACATCCCTGGCCGCCGTCCAAGCCTCAACGGCCTCTTCTTCTATTTTAGTAATGTCGCCGCCTCAAAACGCAAAAACAATAGAACATCGGCGCGTCCTTGAACCATCCTCCAAGCGCGACTAACGCGAATGCGGTCTGTTCCAGGAAGTGACTAAACCGACGACGAAGACACGACGAAGATGGCCGAGGGAGGGAAGCTGCAGGTCCCGCAGGACAAGGAGCGCTTCGGACTGGGCTACCAGAACACGGTGGTAAGTGGGCGCCAGCCAGTTTTGAATTTTTTTTTGAGCGAAGTCGGTTGGCACTAACCAGAAACAATCGCATTATCGCTTCGATTTTGTTTATTTTGCCGGCGCACGTGATTGCGGGACACGTGGTTGGGAAGGTCGCGGTTCCATAGGCGTCTCGAGGGGGTGGGGGTTTCTATAATCGCGCAATTGGCGATTTTTGTTGCGTGTGCAGCTTATTTTTAGATTGGGTATCGAAGGAACGTTATTAATCGATGCATTGAGCTCGTAAGGAGCGGAAGTTTGGAAATTATATGGCATTAGCGAGTAATGGGAAAGATAATTTCGCAATTTTTTATTGCGCGATTTTTTTGTAGGATTTTGGTCTTGGAGCGATTTTGGGTGTTTGGTAAATATAGTTTTATTCATGTGTTTGTGCAGTCGGGCTGGGTAAATATAGACGTTGCAAATAAATGTGGGAATGAGCGTTTGAAGCTCGAAGATATTATTATTATTATAAATAGAAAATTGATGGATAAATCTTTTTGATGGGTTCTTACACGTGGGGTTTTTAAGCAGACTTTGGCCATTCGTGAGTGGTGTCTGCGTGTGTGCGTTCGTCGAAAACAATTAAGAACGTTTTCACTGATTGGTTCCAAGTTGGATACAGACAATTTGGCGACGTACCACTGATTCATGTTTTGGTAATTAAATCACTTGTGCCGCTTTCTTCAATTCTAGCAATTAGTACTTAATTGTTTATTAATCCGCATTGGTTGCTTTATTAAATATTTACATTTTACATACAAAAATAATTAAATTTCCCACTCTTCATTTACCTGTAGTAGTAGACATGTTGTTTGCTATCGTTTTGTAATAGATATGAAAAGATTTTATCAAAAACCATTCAACTGCAAAAACAACTTTTGACAATAAATATATACGTTATAGAGTAGCTTGAAGTAAATTTTTCCAAAGTCGCGAAATTGCAATGTGGAAAGACAGGTCATTGTCTGATAACAAGTGAAAAAACTGTTATGTACAGGATGATTCACATGCAAAGAAAAACTACACCCAAAAGTCTGCAGCAATCGGTATAACCCTGCGGAAGATTAGATGCGAGAGAAATTAAAACACTGGAATCAAATTTGAATTAAAAAAAAAACACATGGAGATGTCGAAGTTTGAGGAGCGGCGGAAAATTTAAGAAAGGATGTCAAGGAAACATTCTAAGACCTTGAGTGGTCCAAAAAAAATTATAAACCGGAGTTTCAGCTAAATTTTATTTAATTTTAATACAAGCAAATACTTAACAATTCTAGTGTTATTCTAAAAATGTGTTTACACTTTTTAGAAGTAGAAACAATTTTTTTCGGGATAATACACCCCTATAAAAGCAAAAAAGGCGAAATTTTAAATTATAATTTTGTTAACTATATGGTATTGTGGGTATGACGTAATAGCAGAATAATTATTATTTAATGTTTGATCATTGTTATTAATTTAATAAAATCAAGCTTAATATGTATATGCCATCCTGCTAAATGGAGAGTGCAAGGTTGTATAAAATCATCATCAACTAAAATTGCTGAGATAGAACTTTCCTCGCTTTTACAGTATAGGCATTAAGAGAAATTCAGTTTTTTAAGTGAAGTACAAAATCTGATTCAGCGAATTTTGTTTATTTGTTGTGATAACTCCTAGAAGTTAAGCAAAAAAGAGACTTCTAAAAAAAGATAGCAAGGCCCCAAGTTTCCCAGTTTTTTTTTGAAAAGTACAATGGGCGGCTCAAGATTTTTCTATATTCTTTAAAAAAGGGCACAGTAATCCCAAGATTTGTATACATTTTTGTAAAAAAGACACTAGGGGTCCCAAGATTTTTCTACATTGTTTAAAGGATGAAAGGAAGGACCTTCAAGATTATTTCAAACTCTTTCAAACACAAGTCATCCCCAAATATTGTTCTACCTTCCTAAAAAAAAAATATATCAAGGGTCCCCAAAATTTTTTCAAACTTTTCTATAAACAAAAGATCAGTGGTCCCGAAGAGTTTTCAATTTTTTTTAATGAGGACCATAGAGAATCCAAGACTTTTCTATATTGTTTAAAACAAGACACAGGGGTCCCCAAGACCTTTATATTTTTTAAAAAGGACACAAGACGCCCCAAGATTCTTCTACATTCTTTCAAGAAGGAGATTAGGGACCCCAATATTGGGGGTCCCCAAATATTGTTCTACTTCTTAAAAAAACATACATCAATCGCCCCCAAAATTATTTCAAACTCTTCCATAAACATAACACGAGAAGTCCCCAAGAATTTTCTAATTTTTTTTTAAGACACTAGGGGGGCCAAGATTTTTGTAGTTTATTTTAAATAAGAACACAGGGGTCTCCAAGATTTGTTTATATTTTTGTAGAAAGAACACCATGGATCGTAAGATTTTTCTACATTCGTTAAAGAGGAAAACTAGAGACTTCCAAGACTGTTTCAAACTCTTTCAAAAACACAAGATTTGGGGTTCCCAAATATTGTTCTATATTGTTAAAAAAAGGACAACAAGAGCTTCAAAAATTGTCTCAAATTCTTCTATAAACAGAATACCAAATGTCTCCAAGAGTTTTTAATTTTTTTTAAGGACAATATGGGATCCAAGAATCTTATATATTGTCGAAAAAACGACATCGGGATCCACAAGATTTTTATATTTTTTATAAATGACACTAGTCGCCTACAATTTTTCCACATTCTTTAAATAGGGACACCAAGGACGCTCAACATTATTTTAATCGCGCCCATGAACAAAACACGAGAGGTCCCCAGAAATTTCCTATTTTTTTTTAAGACACTAGAAAGCCCAAGATTTTAAAAAAGAACACAGGGTTTCCCAAGATTTGTTTACATTTTTGTAGAAAGAACACTAGGGTCCCCAAGATTTTTCTACATTCTTTACAGAGAAAAACTGTGGAACCCCAAGATTGTTTCAAACTCTTTCAAAATCAAAACATTCGGGTTTTTCAAATGTGTTCCATATTCGTAAAAAAAGGCATTAAGGGGCCCGAAAATTGTCTCAAACTGCTCCATAAAAAAACACCAGAGGTCCCCTAGAGTTTTCTCATTTTTTTAAGAAGCGACCCAAATTTTTTATATTGTTTAAAAAACGTAAAGGGGACCACAAGCTTTTTAAATTTTTTAAAAATGACACTAGCCGCTCAAGATTTTTCTACATTCTTTAAAAAGAGACATTAGGGACCCCCAAGATTTTTTTCAACTCTTTCAATCCCAAAACATTTGGGGTCCCCAGGGATTGTTCTACTTCTTAGAAGAAGAAGACAACCAGGGCCATCAAAATTACTTCAAACTCTTCCATGAACAAAACACGAGAGGTCCAGAAACATTTTCTATTTTTTCTTAAAGACACTAGAGGATCCAAGATTTTTGGAGTTTATTTTAATAGGGGTTCCCAAGATTTGTTCACATTTTTGTAGTAAAAAACACCAGGGCCCCAAGATTTTTCTACATTCTTTACAGCGGAAAACTGTGGCCCCCAAGATTGTTTCAAACTCTTTCAAAATCAAAACATTTGGGGTTCTCAAATTTGTTCTATATTCTTAAAAAAAAGGCATCAAGGGGCCCGAAAATTGCCTCAAACTGTTCCATAAAAAAACAACAGAGGTCCCCAAGAGTTTTCTATTTTTTTTTTTAAGAAAGGACCCAAATTTTTTTTATTGTTTAAAAAACGCAAAGGGAACCACAAGATTTTTAAATTTTTTAAAAATGACACTAGTCGCTCAAGAGTTTTCTACATTCTTTAAAAAGAGACATTAGGGACCCCCAGGATTTTTTCAAACTCTTTCACTCCCAAAACATTTGGGGTCCCTAGGGATTGTTCTATTTCTTAGAAAAAGAAGACAACAAGGACCATCAAAATTATTTCAAACTCTTCCATGAACAAAACACGAGATGTCCACAAATATTTTCTATTTTTTCTTAAAGACACTAGAGGGTCCAAGATTTTTGGAATTTATTTTAATAGGGGTCCCCAAGATTTGTTCACATTTTTGTAGTAAAAAACACCAGGGACCCAAGATTTTTCTACATTCTTTACAGAGGAAAACTATGCCCCCCCAAGATTGTTTCAAACTCTTTCAAAATCAAAACATTTGGGGTTCTCAAATTTGTTCTAAATTCTTAAAAAAAAGGCATCAAGAGGCCTGAAAATTGACCAAGCTGCTCCATAAAAAAACACCAGAGGTCCCCAAGAGTTTTCTAATTTTTCTTAAGAAAGGACCCAAATTTTTTATATTGTTTAAAAAACGCTAAGGGGACCACGAGATTTCTAAATTTTTTTAAAATGACACTAGTCGCTCAAGATTTTTCTACATTCTTTAAAAAGAGACATTAGGGACTCCCAAGATTTTTTCAAATTCTTTCAATCCCAAAACATTTGGGGTCCCCAGGGATTGTTCTACTTCTTAGAAAAAGAAGACAACCAGGACCATCAAAATTATTTCAAACTCTTCCATGAACAAAACACGAGAGGTCCACAAACATTTTCTATTTTTTCTTAAAAACACTAGAGGGCCCAAGATTTATGGAGTTTATTTTAATAGGGGTTCCCAAGATTTGTTCACATTTTTGAATAAAAAACACCAAGATTTTTCTACATTCCTTACAGAGGAAAACTGATTGTTTCAAACTCTTTCAAAAACAAAACATTTGGGCTTCCCAAATATTGTTCCATATTCTTAAAAAAGACATCAAAGGCCCCGAGAATTGTCCCAAACTCTTCCATAAAAAACACCAAGGAACCCAAGATTCTTTCAAACACGAAACATTAGGGGCTCCCAAAGATTGTTCTACTTCTTAAAAAAAGACCCCAATGGTCCCCAAAATTCAAACTCATCCATAAACAAAATACCAGGTGTCCCCAAGATTTTTCTATATTCCTTAAACAAAAGGACAAAGGACACAGGGGTCTCCAAGATTTTTTCCATTTTTCTAAAAAGCACACCGGGACCCCA